TTCAAAGGCAATTGTGATTTTGTAGTGATCACAGTGTTTCAGTCAAAGTTTTTTAGGAGCTTTGAAGCAGAAGATGTGAGGGTTCATTAGGGCTCCAGGTCTTAAAGAGACCAGTAACAGTGTCAGAACTAGTTGTTTGTTGACGTCACACAGACACACACACCTGTCACTCCTTGCCTAAAGGCACTGACGCATCAGAGTGACTGAAAGATAAATGAAAATGATTGGACATCAGTGACGCAGCTTTCATTGACGGTCCAATATCTGAGCTTGTTCAAACCTCATCTAACCAATCAGCGGTTGAGAATTCCCAGCACAGAACCCAATATCCATTTTCTAAGAATAAACCCAATTTCCCTCCACAGATGTATCACATACCAAGGTGATGAGTCACTGGTGAGTCAGCAACTGAAACAAGCCTCCATCTAAATCATCAACCGTTCTCCTGATGACCCTCATTAAAGTTAGTAAGTCATCGACGTAGAGTTTTTACAGTCAGCGTGGTCACATTAAAATGTGAGTATCACAGTACCACAGTCAGTGTTTGAAACACATCTGGATTTGTTTTAACTTTGGACATCGAGCGACGTCTTATTAACAATGATTTTGAGCTGAAGTCAGCAAATGGAAAACAGATGCCAATTTCACGTTGCTCATCCAAAAGAACCAGTGCTGGTCCTGCATGAATGAGAAGGTTTGCTTTAGGACAGAGACAAAGTGGACGAGAAACAATTTTGGAATCAGAGCAGATATCACATATTTATCCCACTCTAAAGGAACCTCGTTAAAGTTTTTGAGGTTTTGATCTCATACCGGATTGATTTCTATTTCCAATACTAAAATACCTGGATATAGGTCCTTAGGAGAGTCCAGTCCTTAGAAGCAGAAGGAATTATCTGATGGAAAAACGACTGAAGAACTAAAGTTGTTTCAGAACTTTTAGCCTTACGCTTGAAAAGCATGTGGCAAGAGATGAGAAAATTGTGAAATCAACAAATGAAAATGAACAGGAGCAACATTGGACTTGTACCTATGTCGAGCCTCTGCTTTCCCCTGGTGCAGGAGGGTATACATTTGTGTTAACCCCTGAGCACCTCTGGGTGTCAGCCTGTGTAGTATTCACGCAGGTGTGCATTCTTTCTGTGGGTGTGATTTCAAACAAGCGTGTTTTTCTGAACTCATCTGTTGTAGATACCCCCCTTCTGACGCTCACCAAAGGGCAAGGTTTAAATCACCATAAATGGAGGGCGTGTGTGTGCGTATATATATGTGGTAGTGTGTGTGCGTGTGCGTGCGTGCGTGTGTGTGTGTGCGAGTATAGCTCCTGAAACAACAAGACTGTTTTTCCCGCCGCTCTTGTCAAAGGTAAACATTCCAGTCCTGGGACGTTCAATGCCAAGTGCCGTTTGATCTCCATCATGTGACATCTAAAAGAGGAGGGAAGCCTCCCTCCACCCCCTGACATACACACATTCACCCCCCCCCCCNNCACAGCCCTACAGTGATCCCATGCTTCCCACTGTGGGCATGTGTTTTTGAAAAAACTAGGTCTGTCCCTGACCTCAGATAACTCGTCTCAGTTTGGTGACTGGTCTCCTTCGTTTGTACGGCGGAGGTGAAAAAAAAAAGACTTAACCTGTCCTGGCTTCTCCATGAGAATACTTTACAAGTCCTAATCCCTCATGTCTCCTCTTCTTAACATCAACCTGCTAATTACAGAGACGGTCTCATGCTTCGCTTTACCTCAGCAGCCAAGTCGTCCATGTAAGGCTATACAGGATTATATCAGGCTTCACACACATACACACACACACACAGAGCGGAGGAGGCTTTTTTTCTTCTCAAAGACATTTAGGTTTAAGGCTATAAAAAGAAAGAAATTAAAGTTTGGCTGAAACTAGAATTAACCCGAGACCACAGTTAGCTCTCAGTCGTCCTTTAAATCCAAATTCTCTCACAAAATATGCAAAGTGTGGGCGCTGGCCTGGCATCAAGGTTGAGCCATGGAAAGTCCAAGATGAACGTAGGGTACAGCAGTCACACAGTCATACATCGGGAAAGTCTGACTCGTCTGTAGCTTGATATGGGATGTCTTCAATTATAGGAAGTCTTCTTTTCTTTGATGCTTTTTTTCTGGTTCCTGAAGTTCCTTCTCCGAGTCGTCTTTAACTGTTCCTCGGATTTACTTGTTTTTGATTCTGTCCATCCTGGGTGTCATTGCCTCCAAACAATTCATCTCAATGTATTTTTAATACATCACCCAGACATTCGTCTCCGTCTTCTTCACTCTGCCTCAGTCTCTGCTTCATCTCTTTTGTCCGATGTCCTGTGCTTTGACCAGTTGACCACACGTATTTGCACCTTCAGATAAATTTAACCCGTACATCTTCATCTTTCAACATGGCTAAATCTCTCTACGTCATTACAAACCATCGATGTCTCCATGTTGTCATGGAGTCAACTTTCAACACCTGTATCTACCTAACCTGCTGCATCCTGAGTTGTTGACTTTGAGGTTTCTCTGTTTCAGTTGTAGATCCTCCTTTTGGCTTTTTCTGTTTGGTTGATATTTATTATTCTTGGTTTAATTTTAAAATTATTAGCTTAAATACTTACTAACATTACAAAGAGAACACCACATTCCTTTTCATCGTCTCCATTATGACAGCGCCTGAGGACATCAGGCATTCTTTTTACCCATTCAGTCATTCTTTTTTGCTCCTCTGAATGCATGTCCAAAGATATCCCTGGTTACTCCACGTACGTGAAAATCTTTGTCCCAGCAATGAAAATAAAAATATTTTACGATTAAAATGGGGCCGTTAGATGTGCATTAAGGGACTTCCTGTCCAGTGAGAGTGAAAACTAAACAAACATCTGCACATCCTGTAGAACATACTGTGTCCATTTTTTTTAAATACACGTCATGTTTTATTGAAAAAAGAAACTGAATGCAGTATTTGTTTCTCTTCCACTGAACTGCGATCATTTCCCATAGTTCAGATTATCTGTGCAGTGCAGTATCTCAGTATATCCATTATACTGTATTATACAGTATCACAACTATGGGGAATTGTTTTAGGTGAAGGGCATTAACAGATGACAGGCTGGTACACTCCACAGTTTCTCCAATAAACCTCCACGACTGTATAACTGTCAGTTGTTCCTCATGTCTGGGTCAAGACTCAAGACTTTTTTTAACTTAAAATAGACAGTTAAGCCAATGGATGATGTTACATGAAAGTTCAAAGTACCTGTGACTGACAGCAGGACTGTCCTCTAGGAGCCTGATGACGATCACTGTTGTTACCTACAACCGTTAGCGTTTAAGCATCTGATAAATACATAAATGTGATACATGGTCACTTTGTGCACATTAGCTATGTTTGTATTTGACTCACATTTATTTATGTACTATATACCTATATAGACATGTATATGTATGTGCATATTTCATATATACGTACACATATACTGTAAATATATCTATAAATAAATATAAATATATAAGTGTATATGTGAATGTATGTAGACATACATTATATATAATGTATATATCTATATACATTAAACAAACAGTATACATATATGAACATACAGTATACAGTATATATGTGTATATGTGAGTTATGGTGAGATGGGCTGGTACTTTCCACCAGTTAAGCAAACCCGCAAAACCTGATTCTAATTGCTAAGCGATTGGAACCGAATTTGCCTGCACATGTATGTAATGATGTCAGCATGTCATGGGTGTGGTGGGAGGAGGACGGGGGAC